GTGCTTTTGGTGTTCAGTCTAAACTGAACCTCTGCTAAGGAAACTCAAGTGGGTGCTTTGTAATTCTCCAGCGCACAAGGGTGAAGCTCTAAGAGGGTGGGAAGCAGAGCTCCAGGCAGCGAGTGGAGGTGTTGGAGGAGCCTGGAGCAGTGATTTTTATACTGAGAGGTGGTGGGTTTGCTGAGGGTGGGGATACGGGAGGGATTTGCAGTGTGCTCTGTTGAGTGTCTGTGCTGCATGGGGTTAGTCTGAGAGTTTGGAGCTGTCCGAGTCTTACAGCAGCTTGTTTAGGGGGTGGCAGATTGGAGGTAGCAGAAGGACTGGCACCATCCTGCAGGGGGGCTGTGCTCTGTGGGGGTGGAGTTCCCCACAATGGAGATATTGGGAGCAGGCTGCAGGCTCATTATGCATGGGGACTGGGGCTAGGGGAAGGACTGGCAGCTCCCTGCCCCATGCTTATGGGATCAAGTGCATTACATCTAGTAGTTACTTCAAGTTCCCCAGTGGCGCTCCCTGCCCTCCCCCCTCTCCTTCCATGTAACTTCATGTAGTTAATATCTCTTGGGGGGCTTCAAGGGAGTGTGGAGGAGAGGAGGATGTCTTTCTGCTAGCTGGCAGTGAGTGTGTGAGACTGCAGAGTGGCAGGGCCAGGGCATGGCTAGGCAGAAAGGCCTGAGACAGGTGAATGAGCAGATCGCTCTAGTCTAGAGGCCAGGTTGGCTGGGCTGCTAGATGGGCAGGTATAAGATTCAGGAGTGACCTTGGAACCTCTGCAAAAATTGCTACAAAGGTCCCTGGTGATACAGAGGCAGGGGTATCGGGGCAACAAGATCAGCGGTCAGTGCGCTCTGCCGCCCCCTCATCCTGATTCCTGCAGCCCCTTTCTTCCACTTTATGCAGAAGGCTGCTGCCTATAGCGCGTTCCCCTTGGCCCCAAATGGCTCCCCATTGGCTTAGGGCAGTGGTTCCCAAACTGGGGTTCGCAAAATGTTCTAGGGGCTTCTCGGGGGGGGGATCCCTAATGGTGGACAGAGCTGTCCCTAGGGACCCAAGGCAGCACGGGGCCAGCAGCCCGGAGCCCCTGGCCTTCCAAGAGCTAAGCAGATCAAAGCAAGCCTATCTATCACACGGAGGAGATTTAAACTTCAAGACTCCTTATAAGAAATGGAAAGGGAGGTGGATATTTTTTTGCTGTTTTTAAAATGAAATAGGCAATTAGTGTTTTTAAAATTATTATGAAGAACAAGTTTAAGCTTTGTTGTAATGTGCGTTGTTTGCCTGGACTGCTCAAGACCTGAATGTTTGTGTAGGAGGAACTCTTTGAGTTGGCTTCTTAAATACCTTCCTGCTGTTTCACATCTGATACTCCTTGATGAAACATAGGAGCCTTGTCTTATAACAGGCTTATTCAAAGTGATACAAGCTATGAAAGTGAGATCTTGGAAGTGTTGCCATTTTCATAATGTAATAAAAATACTGTAATGATAAATAATAATTAATGATAAATAGTGTGTAATAAGCATGTCATAAAAACAAATTGTGTATTTCCAAGATCACTGCTTTTATAATTTATACTCAGGTAAAGGAGAAAATCCCTGGAAATATTTATTTTTAGGAGGGGGTTTGCGAGACTTGACATTTTCGTGAAAGGGGTTCACAGGTTGTTAAAGTTTGGGAACCACTGGCTTAGGGTCTCGGTCAGATCCGCTTGCCTTGACTGTAAATGCCCATCATGGGCGTTGCTCCATACTACTCTGCTGATATGGGCCTGATTCTCCTCTCATCTAAACAGGGGTGAATCAGGAGCAGCTGCACTGGACGCAGTGAACTGGATTCTCAGTAATTCCCTTCCTGCATGTGGAGTAGGAAGGGGGAGGGCAAAGGTCCTCAGTAGAGGGCTTCTCTAACTTATTTTGTTTCCTACTGTACCCTAAGCAGCAGAGAATAAACAGCATGCTTTGCAATGCCCTCCAGCAATGCGCCATTTACCAGGGGGCCGGGAGCAGGACTGGTGTAGTGCCCTTGCACCAGTTCTACATTGGCCAGGGAAGCTCCCTTGGAATGGGATTATCAGGGGGCCGTTTACACTGACTTTAAGGCCCCGTTGGCACTGCCAGCGCAGCATAAAGGTGGGCTTAGTGTAGAATCAGGCCCACGGTACTTGCATCATTTTAAGTGTGAGCAGAATCAGGCCCATCTGCTCTCTCTACTGTGCTCTCCGCTTACCTAGCACTTCTCCCCCATCCTGCCATCTGGCCCCTGCTGCTACAAGAGCCTTCTCCTTTGCATCTCCCCAACCTTGTCTGCAACAGTATCTTCCCGCCCGCACCTCCCTGTGATTTCCTAGGTTACTTTCATGTAGTGCCTCTGTTCTTTAGCCCTGCAGCACCATTCGCCTGGAAGATGCTATGTATAAAAATATAGCATTGCTTAATTCTGCACACTCCTACTCTGTGTATGGAAGAGAGACTTCACTGGGGATCAGCAGAGCCCTAGTGAGGGTAAGTAGGGTGGGGTCCAATTGGTAGGAAGAGTTATTCAGACTGCAGCCAGGACTAATTCTGGTTACGCTTTCTCCCAAACAGCCCCTAAAAATATCATTTAAATTGGGGAGGGAAGAAAAAGGACATTGATTTTAGGTGACGTAAAGGCGAGCTAATGTTAAAAGCAGATTGATCGAGACTTCATAGATTTGTAATAAATTCCTTCTGCAAACAATGTGTGTGAGAGGGCAGTGAAATCCCAAATGTTTCTCCTTCTGTTGCTCATTAAATAACCCGATGAAATTATCTTTATTAAACGCAGGCCTGCCCCGGCCATAAAATGTTACTTTCATAACGAGTGAGGGTTGTTCCAAACGGTAACTTGAGGGATAATAAACCTGCAATAGATGTTCGCTTATTGCACAGTGGTTAAATGGTCACGATTGTTACTCATCACTCTTTGTTGTGTGGCAGCCCCTAGAGCCCTTGCCATGTGTAAATCACTGTACAACCACGGAACAAAAAGAGGGCACCTGCCCCGAAGAGTAGGATCGTTTGATTAACTTGAAATCCATGTCTAAATTAATTTTTCTTATTTGGGACATTCAATTAAAGGCTTTTATTATTTATATTGACGTAATCATTGCTGGCCCTAGCTAAGATAGGGGGTCGTGCGAGGTGCTGTGCTCACACAGAGCAAAGGACAGTCTTACAATCTAAATAGACCAGACAGGCGAATGGTGTGGAAAGTAAATTATTCTTCTCTCCATTGTACAGATGGGGAAACTGAGGCACAGAGAGACTAAGTGACTTGCCTAAGGTAACACAAGGAGTTTGTGGCAGAGCTGGGGATTGAAGCCAGTCCTCCTGAATTTGCATCCAGGGCCTAGTCTTGGGGCTCGTGAAAGTACGTGTTTCTATAGAGGAAGGCAATTGCGCATACACGGTTTGATTTCAAAGGTTATGCAACATCAGCAATGCAGGAGATGGCACAGTTTGGTGGTGTGACAGGTTCAATGGGAGAATTTAGCTATCAGAGAAAACAAGAATGTCACCCAGAAGAGAATTAGTGGAGCA